TATACATACAAACACACACACAAGTATTATTTATTCATCATTTAGGTTTTTCGTCGCTATTTTTTAAATTAAACCACTGTTTTTAAATTAATTATTATAATTATATATATAATTTTCATGTAACATATTGATAGTTTATTATTATTTCTTTCATTTATTATATTTTGACAGTAAAATAAAATGAATTTGTTTAGAATGAATCATTTTGAATATTTTATTTATATAAATAGAAATTATGCTAATTATTATAGTAATTCATTATTCTTTCAATATGATATATACGTTTTTATATACTCATTATATTTTTGTTTAATATAAAAATAGTTTGTATTATTTCTTTTACAAATAATTTAAATATTTTAAATACATTTTTTTATATTTCTATTTTATGTTATTTAATTTTTTTTATATTATAATTCCGTCAGCTAACATTGTTACATAACCTCTGTACCATGCCACTGTAACATTCTGTGCCTTTCAATGGCTGCTTATTTAAATTAAATTCCTAACACTTTCAGGTGAAGTTCAACCAAATTCAGCCCTTTTCTCTCCAGGCTGTTCATATATTCTACACATTGCCTTGCCTTTTTAACATGTCATAATCTGCGAAGATCTCACCCTTCCTCTTTTGTCCTCCTAGAAGATTACCATGAGGCAAGTTTCATTCGGCTACACAAACTTTCCTACTATAAAAAAAGTGCAATTTAATTTGAGGGAATCTCAATGGCATCCAAGTTCCACCAGCTTTCAGCGCCAGCGGCTGTGAGGAAGGAAAAAAACACATCTGTTGAGAAGGGAACAAATGAAGGGTGAAAAATCAAAGTCTCAGACTCTCATCTCACTGCTGGTGTCGAAATAACTCAGATTTCGGATAAGGCTTGCTTAATTTAATTTGTTGGCTGATATTTCTTTTTTATCAGTTGATCTATTCTGTGTTAACCATGTTTCCATGTGCTGTATAATGAAGCAGGAGCGATGGGCAGCACTCTGATGGCTTTAATCATTAGTCATGTTTAGATATGCAAACACATTCATCCCAAACACTCATTTACACGTTCACTAACTCATTGGCTCTTTCTCTCTCTTTCTCCATCTCTTGTCCAACACTTCACAACTGCCAGAAGGTATGCGTAAGCTGAAAATTAGAAATGCTTGTGCGTTCAGATTGATGGAGCTGAAGGGAGTTCCTCAGGGGTGTATCTTCAGTCCCTTAATCTTGATAGCATTGATGTCAGCGGCACACTGCCTGCTGGTAAATGAGCTTCAGAGAGGACCATGTTGTAGAAACGGTATAAGTAATGTCATTCTGTGTTCTTGCAGGAGGGAGGTTTAAAAAGGAGATTGTGGTGGATGGACAGAGTTATCTCTTGCTGATCAGGGATGAAGGCGGCCCACCAGAACTGCAGGTAAGCCTCAAGATAAATATGAAAGCAGCAGAGTTATTATAGTTAACCAAAACTAAAATTAAAACCATAAAACGTTGTTACTTGAAATAAAATGAACATTAACTGAAATGAATATAAATATATATTACATATATAAAACGTTTTATTTCAGCTAGATGCCAAGACAATATTTCTAATTTTAATTTAGTTTAACTTGATGTACTAAAATAACTAAAAATTAAAATTGAAATGAAAACAATAATAAAAACTGTATAGACATAAAAAAA